ACCTTGACTGTCGACTCGCCGTTATAACTCTCATGGGATGCTCAGAGGTGTCCTTCAACCTGTGATAGCTCTTCTATCATCGCCGCTTCGCATGACGGATGAATGACTACGAGTTCATACTGAGGATTTTATTTGACAACGCATCCATCGCGGATATATGTCCCCGCGAAGTGGACCTTGGAGGGATCAACGCGGAGAAGGTTACCATTTTATCTGGTGGCTAACGGTGTCGGCTTTTCTCGTGCTTTGTGTTATGTCCAGGGGAGTACATCTCCTTCAGACTGTGTAACATTTCCATAAGCCTCTCTGCCGCCGATGAACGATTCTGACGATTCTGACAGGAGTTATGCCCGCGCAGCGCAATGTAACAACTTCGAGCATTCCCAGTACTCGCTCCATAGCGGATCCCACAGATTGCGTCATATTGTAGGCCCTATGGGGCACTCGCGTGCGGCCAGTTCCCCGTGCAAACCCCTTCCGTTCGTCACAGCATTCGGAACTGAAGTATAGATCGTCAACGGTACCCGAAAATCTCTTTAACAGGCTTTCCATGGGATAAAGTAGCAAACAAAGCAGAACTCATTTTCAAAAGGCCAGATTGGATGGGGAGTTGACATTTGAATGATATAGAGTGTGTAAGTCAAATTATATATTATACTTCTGGCGGGCCGATCCCAGTTGGTCAATAAAACGGGTAACGGTGCCTGTCTTAATCGTCTTCAATCCATACCATGAGCGCCTATAAGGTGTACCAGAAAGAGGAATCCAAGGATAGATAGACGACGTCCATCATGCTGGAAATGGATGGAACTGTCTGCCTGACGTCAGATCGCCACGCCTTAAGTTTGGGTCCCCCAAACAATCACAGTTTCCGCTGACGATAAACTCAGGAGGGAACTACGGATAGAAGCAGCTTGGGTCCTTCGCAGGCAATATTTAAGAGAACCATCACTCTTTCTTTCTGATCATATCTTTCTTCATCTATCGCAGCAGGGATAATTCCGATAGTAGTTGCGATTTCACCTCAGTTGAGCATCAACTGTCACTGTTGCGAACAACACTGAAACACGTGATTATATTAAGGGCGCTGCGGGCTCCAGCCACGTCATAGGCCCTTTCCCGCTCCGCTTCTGAAAAGGAGATAACGGATTCTTGGAGAAAAGGAGGAGAAACATTTCGCTTCGATACCACCAAATACCGAATTCTCAACGTCTCCTTTTGTATCATCATCACCTTCTCCTCTTTTCCCTACACGTTGCGACCTCAATAATGTCCGACACTACTCTCTATCTCTACACCTCCCTCACTGCGGGGTCATCCCACATCGTCACCGCCACTGCACGGTTGGAGACGATTCTGAAGGCCAACAAAATTCCCTTTCGCGCAATTGACGTGGCTACCGATGAGGCCGCTCGTAAATTGTGGGGTCGTCGTTCCAAGGGTAAAAAATTGCCTGGACTGGTGAAGTTTGGCACTGTTGTCGGTGTAGGTCATTCTGATATTCCTTGATGAAAGGAGACACAGCTATCGACGGAGCTACGTGACTAATAGTTTCGCTCATGTAGGATCTAGAGGATATCGAGGAGTGGAATGAGTACGGTGAGCTGAGGATGCAGATTGATAGCGTGGAAGATTTCGACAGCATTCCTGCCACCAGCTACCCTGTCTCAACCTCCCAGACAAACACTGGATCTGCGACCCCTGCCACCCCACAGCCTCCAGCACAGAGCGCAACCCCGAAGCAAAGCACGATCAAAATCCAGAGCCCACCGGCGAAAGAGAAAAAGGATGATTCAGTGACGCTTGCCTTGCGACAGGCGGGCGAGGAAGCTGCGGCAAAGGCCAAAGGCAACACGGGCGCAGATGGCAAAAAGGACGACCCCTCCGCAGATTCTGAACAGCAGAAGGAGCAGTCCTCGAGTAGCGGAGAGAACAAAGGAGGAGAAGAAACTGTACGTCGGCGATCGGTGGTTCCTGCGGAAATTGTCGCGGGCGTTGGAGGGCGTCCACCTTTGAGGGTGCCCGAGTGCGCTGCAGAATCATCTGCCAATTTGCGTGCTGATAATGCTGAAGCTCTAGGATTGGTTCAACATCACCGCGGCTCCATTGTCTCCGCAACTTCCCCAGAGGAAATGGAGAAGGTGGCTCAGGACTTGCGCAAATCTATATCTGGCGGCCACGAAGAAATATTAACGGCTTTGAAGAACGAACATGCGGCGCGGGCAGGACAGGACGAGACCATCGAGGAAGAGTCAGACGGCGAGGATGACAAGCCTGATGAGAAGAGTCATCGCAAGGAAACCCAGAAACAGGATATTAAGGATGCGCCGAAAGCGACAGTAGGCGTTGATTAGGGCACGGTTACAGTCTCTTCGGAAATGGTTCAACCTCAAACGAATTTTCCTTGCGTGATTCCTTCGTGTATGATACCAAGTTGCATTTTTAACTCGCCGTCTGTCTCATACAAGGCGTGATAATAGCCATGAATGCTTCAGATTTAGATTATTTGATTCCAAGTTACTGAAGCATTTTCTCCCAGCCCAGCCCTGGGTAGAAGTTAAGTCGAAATTGCACCAATGTAGGTGAGATCGAAGACAATATTGAAAACGAAAAGTTATGATCTTTCTATATAATGGTATATGTTTTATGTCTGGCGGCGCTTGTTAACAGCTTCGCGCAGCTTCGCAATTACGTCGGCAGGGTCCTGAGCGCCAAACACCGCCGAACCAGCGACGATAACATTGGCACCAGCATCCGCAGCCTGGTCAATGGTTCCCAATCCCAAGCCACCATCGACCTCAATGTTCAGATCCGGGTACCGCTCACGGAGAGCCTTCACCTTGGGAAGCTCGGAGGCCATGAACTTCTGACCTCCAAAACCGGGGTGTACCGTCATGACGAGAACCATCTACAGCAGCAGTGATTCGTTAGCTTGTAATTCAGTAGTCTCTGTGTATCGCACGAGGGTAGACCGCGCAAACTTACATCAGGCCGTTCCTTCTCATCCTTGTTTTCCAGGATATCCCACAGGACGTCGACGGGGGTGTCGGGCTTGATGGCGATGCCCGCCTGCATGCCCTCGTCGTGGATATAGCGGATGAGTTCCTTCGGGCTTGTCGGACGGGTCGTCTCTTTGTCTTCTGGGGTAGTAGCGGCGACGGAGGAGATGGCGGCCTCGTAGTGGAAGCAGTATAGATCGCATCCGGCGGATTTGAACTCCTTGACCCATTTATGGGGCTGTCAAGGCAAGTCAGCATGTTTCTTCGCGAAGTTGAACGAATTGGCGTAAATTCGTTCTTAGGGATGCGCACTCATACTCACCTCCATGATCATCATGTGGCAGTCAAAGGTACCCTTTCCAAGGGCCTGGGTTGGGCGGTCCACATGAGACCGGATCTTGGTGACAACGGGGGCGCCAAAGGTTATGTTGGGGACGAAGTGGCCATCCATGATATCAACGTGCAACCAATCGGCCCCCTGCGCGATCTTCGTTGAGCACTCATTGCCCAGGACAGCGAAATCCGCGCTCAGGATGGAGGGAGCTATGATTGCTGGAGGAGGCATGGTGGGGTTAGTGATAGAGGGGCTTGTAGATGTAGCTGAGAGGGGGAGATGTAGTAGTAGCAGTATATGAGGAAATTGAAAAAGAAGTAAAGCTGTACAGAGTGATCTACAGCAGGGAGAGCTTTCTGGAAAGATGCAGTCCTAGCTAGCTAAACAAGTAGGGAAAATAACATAAGCAGCTTTGATACCACCGCCGCTCCCGGTCGACGTCAGTCCGACGATGGCAATCTGGTCGACGATAAGGGCTAGGGTCGTGACCTTCACGTGGGACGTGGGGTAGATTCGTCCGTGGGGGGCTGCCAGCCTGAATGCCTGAACCAGGGTTGACTTAACTATATCAACAAATGATCATGGGAAAGGCTCATGATGCAACATCGACTGCCATTTCATCTCGAAATCGATAATTTCTATCCGTGGTTGGCTCTTCATTAGGATTATGGCCCAATGAACGGGTATTGTTGTTGTTGTCTTCTTGGGCTTTCTGCTTGTGATGCAACTCCCATTTCCGCTGGTTCTCCAAGTGATGACCACTCAATGGCTCCGAATTTAACCGCCCTTCCAGACTATGATGGAGGGGAAAAGAACCTTTAAGCAAGAAAGCCGGCGATAGACCACGCGGAAGAAATTAATATCAGAAAACAGTTTCCATCAGGAAGGCATTGATTGTTGAGTCATGTTTCTGCCTGTCTGTCTGCTCGAAGCCTTCTAAACATAGCCACTCGGCGCTTGCGTTGCACCAATCAGTGCCCTTCCTCATGTGAACAATATGCAAGTTCACCTTGAGCGCTTCGTTGCAGACCTCTCGGACTTTATCCTCATCGTAATTGGTGTGTTCAAGGTTCAATAGCTCTAAAATCCTCCCTGATTCGGTCAAAGATGCCCAGGCTGTTATTATCGGCGACGCGCTTGCTACACAACCACCAATAGTGGTACTTCTACCAAGCCTTTCTCAAGGATTCCCTGTCCCAAGGTGCCCGATGGTGCAGTAGTTTCTGCACGGATGACTGCTGGTGTGAAATGATGATGAGATCCTGAGATCCCCGCGTCTGCCTCCGGCTATGTGGTTCTATTTATCATGGCCGTTCGCTACAACCTCATGTTCTGTACCTAGTCCTCAATCGTGTTGTCCTCTTCTTCTTTTTTGCGTGTTGTGATAGTGCCTTGAGCTCTGGAAGCTTGGGCTCCATTCGTTGACATCGTCCTTTGATTTACTAATACTGGCAGACCCGTTGATCGGTGTCGCCTATGATTGAGATACCCTAGAAGTACCGGTTGATTTCTCTCATTTCCGCGGATTATAATCATTGAAAGGAGGAGTTAAATCTAACAGCGGGGGTCAACACTCAATAACGCAGCACAAGATGGTTGACGCTTCTCGGGCTTCAACGAGATGCCCGCCCTCTCGGCAGGTCCGAGGGACGAAACTTAATACCATAATGGAGGAAGTAAGCGAGGGCTCGGACTCGGACAAGATCAAGAATGATAGTGCTGGGTTTCATTCGACCACCTCAGGACCGCAGCTGAAACTCATGACCACGGGTCTTTCTAGCCTTTCTCTCTCAAGGCTGAATCGTCTTCGTTCGCCATTGTCTGCAGGCACGATGTCGTCTTGCTCGGACACGGAATGGCAGCAACAGATGCAGAGCTTGGATGATCTGTATGATGTCACGGATGAGGACTCCGAGCTGAGCGACGATTGCACTTCATTCTCGAGCTCCCGACCGACGAGCCTTACAACTCCCACGACAAGGAATTCTATTACCTCGCCACTGAATCGGAATCGGTACCCCAGCCTCACAATACCCTCATCGACCACGTGGCCCTCGTTACACAATGCGCCAAAGAGCTCTCCAGTTCCTCCAACGCCGCCGCCGAAGATACCAGTCTCACCTGCTGCTCTGTCCATACTTGCGAGAACAGTACCGGCCCTGAATGCCCCTCCCTCCTTGGATGGCAGTGTATCTTCGGACCAGGTCTCCAATAGCAGCGAGCCAGTAACTCCAGACTTGCAGTCCCTTCCAGATACTGACTGGAACGCCCCAGATGTTCAGGTGCGACCGGAAATGATAGACAGTCAGCATGCGGACATTGATAGCGAGGGAATTGACCCCGAAGTTCAAAGCATTGAGATAGCCATTGAGAACCCCGACGAAGATTGGCAACACGTTCTCGGCAGCTTTCCACCTATTCCCAGCCAGTCTACGTTGCCGTCGGATGGTGGTGTTTTTCTCCCTGAAGATGCCCTCGCAACTTTGAGGCACATCCCATTGGGCGGCACACCGGAGCCTTGGTCAGAAACATCTGCTCAGAACGAAGAGATGTGGCAGCTCGAGCTACCTGTTGAGCGTCCTCGCAGTGCCGACGATGCGACTCCAGCCTCAGCCCTCTCCGGATACAGCTTCAGCGGGCTCAGTATACCTTCTCCCGGAGGATTCTTTGCGTCACTTGGTGCTCGAGCTCGTCACACTTGGTCGATTCCTAGAACTGCTATGCCGCCCTCTTCTGCCATCGCGGAAAGTTTCTACAACTTACCCTTTGGTCGCGATGACGGAGAAGTAGTCGAACAAATCATTGAATATCCCGAGCGATGCACCGAGGAGCAATTAACTGCGACCTATGTACCCGAGGGGCCCCCAACTGCAATCAAGATACCCTCGGAGGCATCATCATTCCCCCTGGAGTATCAAGACAGCCCTGTGAGCCCTGTAGCGGATGCAGTGCACGAGATTTCAAGACCCGCCACCTATTGCGAAAGCCAGGATCGTGATGAAGACTACGAGGAGGAACTGAAAAGAAAGGCAATGTCAAGTCTGGATCGGACGAGTGTCTGGTTGGCGGCGCAGCAGACCTATCTTGCTGCACTCCGAGAAACGAACCCTGTCAACTCCTTGGAGAATGAAGAGTCGGACGCACTCGAAGGGGTTCGAGATGATTGCGAGCAGAACGCCCCTGGGCTATGTCGCAAAAAATCTGTCCGCTTCGCCGAGTCCGTATCTGAAGCAGCCCGACCACCTTCTGCCCTGGCGAGTAAAGACTCGATCTATTGGCGAGGCTTCCAATCGGTGCTTGGGTGTTCGACTCGTCGAGATAGCTTCATTCATAGAAGCACGCGCTTTGACGCTGTGCAGTCAATTCGATCAGGTTTGCTCAGCATGCATATCAACTGTTTGCTGGGGAATTATGAGCTGGTGCGCCCCGAACGACCTCCCTACAAGGGTCCATTCTCACAGGCTCCCCGCAATTCCGTACTTACGTCGGTATTGGCAGAGAAGGCGCAATTCTCCATCCTGGAGAAGGAGCAATTGGTCTTATCTCAGCTTCGTCCGCCCATGTGGGCCATGGACGCTCTCAGGTACCTTAATGGCGGCCACCTGGTCACCAGTCCCGCCCGGAGGCGTCTTTCCACAGCAACTGCACAACCCGCGCCTTCCCAGAGACCTAGAGGACGCCGGGTGAGAGTTTTGGACCTGGGCGGACACGCCTCCTGCGAATGGGCGTGGCAGCTTGCCCACGATTATCCCAACGTTAAAGTCTATACTGTGTTTACTGAGCACCAAGCAGTTAACCATGGCGTCAAAGGCCCGTCTAATCATTGCCAGATTGCCGTGTCTCAACTTTGGAAACTACCGTTCTCGGACAACAAGTTCGACCTGATCTCGGCCCGGTCACTGCCTGCCTTGCTGAAGAACGAGCGCCCGGTCGGGGAGACGCAAGATGAGTACGACCTTTGCCTACAGGAATGCCGCCGTTGCCTCAAGCCTGGGGGCTATCTGGAGTTTTTCGTGATGGACGCCGAGATTTCCCGCGCAGGAGCGTATGCCACTGCTGCTTCGGTTGAGTTCGCGTTCAACCTCAAAACTAGGGGATATGACCCGTTACCAACAAAGAGCTTTCTCGGACGCTTGCGAACTGGAGGCTTTGTAGGCGTGAAGAGGGCATGGATGTTTCTGCCTATGGGCATGGAGCCTGTGAAAGCACAACTTCCCAGAGAGACGCCAGACCCTCGAGTCAAGAGCTGGGTCGACGAATACGAAGCTGTACACGGGCCTGTGGGCAGCACGGCCGACATCGCGAGCGTGACAGGTCTCTTTGGAGGCTGGATGTGGGAACAATGGCTTCTCAAGCTGCAAGTCGAGATGGGTCGGGAGCGACACCGGTTGCTCGAAGGTATCGGTAGCGTTTTTGATGAGGGCCGCAAGAATGGCGCAGGCTGGACCTGCTTATCTGGATGGGCGATGAAACCGAAACGCAAGATGCCGCCCTCGCAGCTTTGAACCGGTTAGCTGTTTTGTATGATCTGAGAACTGGTTTCTCAACCTACACTCCCTTTGATGATGCTTTATCGTTAGTCGGACCAAGTCGGTCTTATAGTTTGATACCCCTATTGCCCTGGTGGCGGTCTATAATATAATAATGATTGAGGACTCCCTATAACACATGTTTGATACACCTGGTCCCGGAGAGCGCGAGATCTGTGCTGGCTCAATTGAATATTTATGGCACCTGCTATATAGATACATCAGCGCAGAGATGTAGACGCGCTCGCTCGGTAAGAGCTAGCTATATGACTTACGATAAAGGTTTCTATTGTAGAACTAGTTGTCATATTAGTCCTAGTCGTACGTCGGATTGGTTGTTACCTATAGACAATACCTTGGTGTTCTTTGTGTGTCTGCTGCTAAACCACATATCAAATCACGTGATAAGGTGCTGCTGAGTTCAACCCGACCGACGCAATGCGACAAGAAATCTAGATCACCAACTTCAGGACATTTCTCCCTTCGCGTTTGTGGTTCTCATTGAAAAGGGACACGGGAGGCAATATACCACTCATTTACAAAGCTTGACAAGCAATGCGATAGCGCCTTGATTTTTCCCTCGACTACCCCTCCATCGCCCTAACGTCGCAACCATGCTTTTCTTCAGGTATGTCACTAAGAGCTATAAACTGGCTCATCACCACCTTTTGGCTGTTCCTATAGCTGACATTCTATGATTTACAGTTTTTTCAAGACCCTCACCAACCAGACCGTCACCATCGAGCTCAAGAATGACATTCGTATCCGCGGAACCTTGAAGTCGGTCGATCAATACCTCAACATTAAGCTCGACGATGTCGACGTCCTCGATTTAGACAAATACCCTCATCTCTCCTCGGTGAAGAACATGTTCATCCGTGGTAGCGTGGTGCGATATGTCATGCTGCCCCGGTCAGAGGTTGATGTCGGTCTCTTAGAAGACGCTACGCGGAGAGGTACGTCCTGAGATACTGCGCAGTTTCTGCCCAGCTGAGGCTATTCTCTGCACTGCCGGAATCTGGGCTTCTATCCTGAGTAAGCCGTTTCATTTCTCTTCGACGGATGCTAACTGGGAGTCTCCCTGCAGAAGCCGCGAACCAAGCCGGAAAAGCTCGGTGATTGAATTCTGTATTTTCTTTTTTTCTTCGAGGCTATCTATCTATGACGATGCATATCGCTCAATTATCTCTTGCATGATCGCTCGTGATGCGATCTCACCTTATGTTCCACGGACGAATCGATTGCGGGCGAGTGCTACAAGTTGGACTGAAGGTCGTGGTTGAGAAATACGATACCACACGAGGGGCGTAACAATGATTTCAACGGGCGAAAGAGCGGTTATTATATGCTTCAGTTGGCCTTCTGGCAGCTGGCTTATATCCTCAATGGTGATCGGACGCTAGCATAGCTCTTGGATTTGGAAGTGAGGGCGTCCGGAAGCCCCAACTAGTTTAGATCTGTCGATCAGGATTATTGACCCAGGAAACAATATGCTTATTGTACGCTTTCTGTCAAATGGTAGCAAATGTAGTTTTTGAGTCTGACGATGTACCTCTCTGGTAGAGCGTATAGAAACCAGCACTCAAGTCCATATAGGCACGTGACCTCGCGTCGCGAAAATCAGGTTTCGCCGCGCCGGCCGCGCCCTTCTGCTTGGCTCCTTAACCGCCAGATTCATGGCCCATGACGATACGAATTTGTACGTTTCCTGCACAAGAGTGACGGGAAAAATTCCCTGGTTTTATGTGAATACGGAAGGCATGCCCCTGGAGCGAGACATCAACGGATTACTATCGTTATAGCTACGACGACGTGCCCGCAAGAACCCCGCCGATTCCCCGAAGTGCTTGCAAGTATCCGTGTGAAGACCGACAATGGCGGGCACCCAGGCGCGAAAAGGATTTACTTCATCGAAGACACCACCCGGCTCAAAGCAGAAAACGCAGGTGAAACGGAATGCGAGCCTGTTGAATTTCTTCCAGAAAGCCGACGGGCCCCCGCAAGCCACCTCTCGGCAGCCTCGAATCACGCAGTTTGCAACCAAGGTCGAGCGTTCGAATGGGAGCGGTAACAGCTCCGTTTCGTTACGCAGACAAGGGAGCTCCCAAGCAAGTAATACGGCTGGGAGTCTGTTTCTGGAAGATAAGAATGGTTCGAGGTCATTGAAGACGGAAATTGGTATTCCCGACTCTCGCGAGTCACGGTCGAGGACCCCAGATGATATCTGGGGAGAAGAGGACGGAAATGAAGCTGTGACACAGCCAGAAGGTGGGAGATATAATGAGAACGGAAACTCGGTCAAGCGACGAAAAGTAGACTCTTCTTCAGCGGCTGATCAGGGCGATGTTACCCGTCCGGCCAAACCTACCAAGACCCGGCAAGTCAGTGGTCCTTTTATCGATGAATCAGACAGCGAAGACGATCTGGGCGACGATCTGGGTGCCTTCAAGGAGGTAGACCAGGAAGCACCGAATTTTGAGCGGACCGCGACCGGAAACGAGGAAAAAGGTCCAAGTAGTGTTAATGTTAACCCGGCACTTCAAGAGCAACCGTCCGCTGTCGCCGCACCCTCATTGGTAAGAGAAGCCACGAGTTACGCAGGAGACGATGAATTCGCGAATTTTGACGATATAGAAGACGATAAATACCTAGACGACGATACACTTGATCCATTTTACGCAGACGAAGATGCTGGAGAGAACGCGGATTTCCTTGACTCGACTACCATGGATGATTCCTTGGGGATCAATGATGTTAGCGAATGTTCTGGTGGTGAAGGCCCTGCATGTCCGATATGCCAGTCAGATCTATCAGGGTTAAGCGAGGCGGTAAGATGCGGGGCTGGGATGCCTATTTTTCGAACCTCTAACTAATTTGTCGTAGGATGTGAGCTTGCATGTGAACGATTGCCTCGACGGGGAGCCTACAGCTAACTCGGCGGAAACACTCTCGAACGCTCCGAAGCAAGCCCTATCGCGGTCCGATAGGGCTGCTGTCCCACGACCAGCTCAACGTGACCCGTTCTCGTCAGGCGGTACAAAGTCAAAATCAGCCTTTTCGGAGATTATGGCTGGAAACGCTGAAGATGCCGCTTGGGCGACTGCAGCAGCAGGAGAGATAGAGTCTCGCGGGAAGCAGGCTTATCAACGAACTTGTCCGTTCTACAAGATTCTTCCTGGTTTGTCCATCTGCGTGGATGCGTTTCGCTATGGTGCCGTGGAAGGCTGTAACGCCTATTTTCTCAGCCACTACCATAGTGATCACTATATCGGTCTCACATCGTCCTGGCGACATGGTCCTATCTACTGTAGCAGGGCTACGGCCAATCTAGTGCGCCAGCAACTCAAGGTTGACCCCAAATGGGTGGTAGACCTTCAGTTCGAAAAGAAGACGGAGGTTCCTGGAACGAATGGCGTGCATGTCACCATGATCGAGGCCAATCACTGCCCTGGGAGCGCCATCTTCCTTTTCGAAAAACAGATGGGATCCGGATCATCTGCGAGAGTACAACGAATCTTGCACTGTGGAGACTTTCGAGCGTCTCCCGCACATGTGCAACATGCACTTTTGCGTCCGGAAATTGATGACCCTACTACTGGCCAACGCCGTCATCAGAAAATTGACGTTTGTTACCTTGACACGACATATATGAGTCCTAAGTATGCGTTCCCCAGCCAGGAGGATGTCATCGAAGCATGCGCGAATCTGTGTCTCAGTCTCGACCAAAATCCGGAAGAAGGTGTCGGTCAGAATCTGTTGCAGAAGGGAAACTCTGGTGCAGGGAATGTTATGAGCCGATTCTTTTCTGCGATGAGCGGATCCCGTGGCAATTCAGAGAACCAGGCCGCCCGGGCTCAGGGTCGGTTGCTTGTCGTTATAGGGACATACAGTATCGGCAAGGAGCGAATATGTCTTGGCATCGCTCGAGCACTAAAAAGCAAGATATACGCCACGCCAGGCAAGAAGCGAGTGTGCGCGTGCTTAGAAGACCCAGAATTATCCTCACTACTCACTGATGATCCGGTTGAGGCTCAGGTGCATATGCAGACGCTCTTTGAGATTCGCGCAGAAACCTTGGCCGACTACTTGGACTCAATGAAGCCGCATTTCTCGCGCATTGTAGGCTTTCGGCCGACGGGGTGGAATTACCGTCCGCCTTCAGGTCGAATGCTGGACAACCCGCCCGTCTCTACAGTGTTGCACTCACCGCAGTGGAAAACGCCGTTCTCGGCACGCGATCTGACACCTCAAAGGGGGAGTACCCGGGAGAGTGCGTGCTACGGGGTACCATACAGCGAACACAGCTCCTTCCGTGAGCTGACAATGTTCTGCTGCGCCTTACGGATAGGACGGATAATCCCGACCGTGAATGTGGGTAGCCGGAAGAGTCGGGAGCGAATGAAAGCATGGTTTGAACGGTGGGAGGCCGAAAAGAGGAAGAGTGGACTGTACCGAGTAGAGGGAGAAAGATGGTAAAGATGTGCAGCCGACTGTTAATAGAAATGTACATAGCCCTAGGCAGCAGATATGACAGATCCCTCTAGTCTCTGATATATCATGTACATATTTGGATATAGAGATTGAGATGCTCCACACCTTCTAGTACTACAAGTCCTATTAAGCTAAGTCTGCAAGCCGTAAATATGCAAAGATCTGCAATAAATTGGGAGTAGTCTGCATCATCTGCATCTCTCAACACACTCGGGATCAGGCGTCCAGTCAGGCAGGCCTCCTCCAGACCATTACCTATTGTGAGCCTCCAATTACAAGACACAGCCAAAGTTTGTCAGCGCCATTTTTTTTTCCACTTCCGAGCGCCGACAGGATCATTGTCAACCCCACACCTGATACTAGCACTGAGAGGCAAAAAACAGAATAACCGAGCGGTGAAGCGGTTGAAATGCCAGCGTCGGGGTCGCAGATCGGCTGGTAGCTGGCTTGGACCCAACCCCAGACTCCCGACCCCCAGATCCGTC